CATAGCAAGATCAATAGTTTTTCGGAGGAATGTACTAGTGGTTTCTTAAGAAAATCTTAAGAAATGATATTGCAATACGTAAAACATATTTGCTGGTTTTATTCTGCATATTTAATGTTGAAGAAATCAACGCAGTGCTATCTGAGTGTTTTAATAATTCATATGTTAGAGTATGTCTAGGTCTATATTCTTAGCTAATTATTTTTTGGACAAAGAAATCAATATTTCCTGAACTATTATTATTTTTAATAGCATTGATATTTGCCATAGAAGAAGATTTGGAAATTGTTTGCAAGAAGAGGAGTATCAAGCGCATTGCTACAATCAATCCAAAGTGTATATGCCAGCACGAGCAACATGGTGAGAAAGAAATTGGGTAGCAGAAAGCGTTTTGTGAGGTACAAAGGTGTGAGGGAATGGGGAATACTGTTCATCTCAGTTATGTATGAAATCTAATCTCAGAACTAGGTGAAAACGACCGGATGGGATTGACTGCACTGGTACGTCATTAAATGCAATGATAGTTAAAGATCAGTTATACGATGATGACCTACTAGTATTAAGTAACAAAGCCGAACTGGAAAGAGATGGGAACAGGAGCAGATATCTTAAGAAACATGACTAACATAAGAATTAATTTTAACAAAACTGAAATATTGGCAGTTACGAGAACAAGAGAAAATACTGACTATGTATACACTTATAGAGAGGCTATGTAGATAATGGAAGTCTGGAAGCAGATATAGCCAATTGGATACTTGCCATATTTAAATAATTTTATGTATGGAAACGCGCATTCCTAAAGAAAAGAGAGGTAAGCAAAAGCAGTAAATTAAAAATCTATACATTTGTTTTTGTACTCACTTTAACCTAACAGAATCGAATTATGGGTACTCTTACAAAGGTTAAAATTATGAAGATATTAACAAGAATAGAGGGTATAATAAGGATGGAAAGAATCAGGAATAACGAAATAAGAATGTGGAACCAGTGATAAAAATATAAGAGAGCCAACTTAGATGGTTCGGACACCATAAGCGAATACAACCTGGTTAAACAGATATGGGAGGCAAGATGGGATGGAAAGAGGAGGAGAGGAAAGCTGGGGAAGGGATGGAATAAGGATGTGAGTGACATATTGAAAAAATGAGTACATAGACAGAGGCCAAAATAAGGCGAAAAACCGAGGAAGGTTAACACGATACTGCAGAAACTAAAGAAATGAATAATTACTTTTAATTTTATGTGGGTCGTTAACGACAAGTTTGTAATCTTGATTAATTAGCTGGGTTACAAATTTTACTTCGAAAATTATTTTTTGTAAAATATTGTATTGATATAAACACTGATGGATATTTTATTCACCCAAGGTCGTTCGCGGCCGATGCACTACAATTATTACAAATCATAATATTGGATAACACATGCAAGAAAGCTTCGGCCGCTACCCATACTGCAATACCTGGATTGCAACCTCGCTATTATAACCCGGCATCGTACCTTTTCGTCTTAGTTAAATCGAGGTTGCCTGCGGCCGAGGCGCTATAATTGTTACTATATTTAACAATACACACTCCAATGCTTCGACCGCAAGCGTCTTTAACTTAAGTAATACATGATATTAGCCGAGGTTTCTATCATTTTCAAAGCAGAGAAGGCTTATAAGTTCTTCGGGGAAATCTGTATTATTTCCACCACCCTGTATATTAGCCATTTTATTGAAAATGCGCAAATTATTTTTTGGGAACGTAAAGTATAGGCTTGAAAGTCTATGAAAAAACAAATTTCAACTTTGAAGAACACATACAGTGAAAAATTATAATATAATTTCATAAATTTCAATAGTTAAATCGAGGTTACTTGCGGCCGAGGCGCTACTATTGATACGATACTGGACAACACATACTGCAATGTTTCGGCCGCAAGCGTCCTCAGCTTGTACATGATGCCTTATTTAGCCGAGGTATTAGAATTGATCCCATATCATTACAATATTGGATAACGGATACCAGAGCATTTTTACAGTATGACAAGTGGCGTTATAAGAATCTTTGGAAAATATTTTATTTATGTTGTACATTAATGTATTGAGGGAAGAAAATCTATCCAATGAAAATGGTAATAAATGTTTTTTGTAGCATTACAAAAAAGTCCGAAATAAAAAAAAGGAAATAAATGAGAGGTTAAATAAAAATAAAAGTATAAAAGCCCTCTCGCGTCACGGAAGATCCCTAAATTATAATAATTATCGTTTTATTCCGCGGTAAACGTTCGGCGTCCGTGTAAAAGTATCCGTTTCGAGAGGGGGCCCCGTTACACGAGCGCTAAATGAATACGTTTTCGCTCGGTTTAATCTGTCCGATCGAAACTAGGCGGCGCTAATGGCGCGGCAACACGCGAACGCGAGTCCCCGCTAATTGACTTGCCTCCTTTAAGGACTCTACACGTACACACACACATTCAAATACACAGACAACGAAACCCAACAAAACGATTTACAAGCTTAAAGTCATCAAGGAAAAAATAAATAACCGAAAAGAGAAAAAAATACTACTTTGAATTAACCTTAAGACGTTCGTAAAAATACTTAAAAAGTATGGACATAAAAAAATTCTACAAAGTAGTTTCTACAAAAATATTTTATTGTTGGTTTTGTTTAATAAATTTTATTCAATTTAGAAAATTAAACATAGACATTATTTGAATAGAGACAGAAATGAAGAGCTTGTTTAGGTTAAATTTATCAAAGAAGGGAAAATTAATAGGGTAATAAGTGGTAGAGGTCTCGGCATCGACTACATTTAATAGCCGGTCATAAATTAGACTCCTAGTTAAAGTTATAATTCCGTACTCCGAATCTCGCCCATTTAAAACCGTACTAATAACTAAATCTATAATTCGGTTCATTTAATTACAGCCCAATTAGACTGCGACGTGATAACGGTGCGATATCGAGAGCGAATAACACATAAATAATTGTTTTTTTGTGTTAGCCAAGAGAATTTTAAGTGTTTGATAAAAGTAAAAGGAGGAAGTTCGATGTGGTAATTGCCCGCACGATTAAGATAAACATACATTTAAAGAAATGTACTTCGCTTGTAGTTGAACCCAAGTTTCAAGTAATTAAAATAATTACTAAAAATTGTTGTCTTTACCATTTAATGATGCTTTACATTGTATTTCTACACTTACATGGTTATTTTCTTTATTAATTGTAATCACGATGATTATAGATTGATTATTTTTAATTTTGAGTAATAAGATAATTATAAACTCAATATTTCGTAATCTATAGGTGGTAAACATTGTGAGGTTTTCTGATTTTTTATTTTATATCAAATTCAACATAGCCAAAAATACATGATTTAGGATGTACCAAATGATGCCATAATTGCATCATATGCTGAAGAGCAACACATTTTTGGAAGAAGATCAAATCATACATGTTAAGAATGAGTGAAACGAGGAAAGAAAGGAAAGTATTTGTGAACAAACCAGATATACCAAGAAATAGGGGAAGACTTAGAAGTTCAAAATTGGAGAGTGAAACCACTTAATGGGGGTGGAGTGGACGCAAATTGTTCAGAAGGCCAAATCTCACCAAGAGATGTAACGCCACAGTATGATGATTATGTTGATTCAAACATTATTTAAATATTAAGGTCATTCAAGTTTCTTGATCAACAAAGAAGAGGTTATATAATTTCTATTTACCTAATTTAGTAGTGAACAAAGAAAGAAACTTACAAAACATGAAATTGGTGCTAAAAAAATCCATAAAAATTCTTAAACTATGTGTGACTTAAAAAGCATTGGTTTACGTCTAGGATTCTAGCTGGTCTGTACAAAGTATTGTTGCTTTTTATGTCAGTGGGAGAGCAGAAATGGAAATAATCCTTACCGCAAGAAAGGCTGAAAAAAACGAAACCAAGAGTCTTGGAGAAAAAATATTTTACACCCTCCTCTTGTCGAGCACACCAAAGTACTACTACCTTTATACATAAAACTAAGTTTGATAAAAATTTTTGTCAAAGCCATGGATCGCAATCTTCAGGTTTTATGTACTTAAAAGAAAAGTTTCCTAAAGTTAGGGACATAAAAATAAAGGAAGGAATTTTCGTCGAACCTCAAATCAGGAAATTGTTCAAAAATGACATATTCAAAGAAAAGTTTAAATGCAAGTAACTATAAAGATCTGAAAAAAGCTACTTTCGACTTATCAAATATTAAATTATAATATATCACTCAAAATACACTTTCTACATCCCCATCTCTACTTTTTTCTCGAGAACATAGGAGCAGTTGCGATGAATATGGAGAAAGGTTCCATTCTTGTATGGAAAAACGATATTAGAGCAAATTGAGTCTTCGTGTGTTGGCAAATTTTTGTTAGACGCTTGCAAGATACCAACCTCAAAGCCAAATACTCCAGAAAATCTTAACCAAGTCTCAGTCAAGTTCCTGTCACAAAAAAAATGGATGCCAACTTTTTCCTACATCTGTTTTCCACTTTAGGCAGTCAAAATAAAGTAAAAAATGTCAAAAAAATTAATTTTTGTATGTTTATTACTAAGCTCCATTTTAATAGAACATTTATATAATTTTGCAAAATACTGCTTGTGTTTAATTTATTTATTCTGATTAATTTGATTGTATTCCAAAATTCAGCAAAGTTTTCGGCAAACTCTAATTTGTGCTTGAAATATTTTAGAACTCAGCACAAATTGAAATTCTTTAAGTTAAAACTTTCAAAACTTACATGTCATAATAAAAGAGATGCATCAGATTGATCATGAGATATTGATGAGAATGTTGCAGAAGTCAATATTGTATTTTTGTGCAAACCCAAGTTCGAAAAAGTACCCAAACTTGTATTTAGCGATCCTAGAACTCAATGCAAACCTGAGTTTTTGAATGAATTCAAATGATCTATCTTAATATTTTATGTGATTTTAAGTTATAATACAGCTTAATAAATCTGTATTTTCTTTCTATTTTAGGTCCTGATATACCTGGATTTCTTCTACAACCATTTAGAAAACCAAAGAGGATTCGAACGGCTTTCAGTCCGTCGCAACTTTTAAAATTAGAGCACGCGTTCGAAAAAAATCATTACGTAGTTGGCGCGGAAAGAAAACAGTTGGCGCAGAGTTTATCGTTGACGGAAACGCAGGTAACTTTATCAATATTTTTGTTTTAATGATGACAAATATGATCCAAAAAAATAAAAACAATTTCCGCTTGACGTTTTTATCGATTAATTGATAATAATTACTTTAATTGTCCTTTCGATAGAAATAAGATAATTTGCGTCAATTTAACGAACGATAATCGACCCATGAAGGTGTAATTTAATAAACGTCATTTAAAAAGTTTTATTAAAATGCCTATTTAATTAGAAAAATTGAAATTAAGATGGCGAGGAATTCTTTTAAAAATCATAAATTTTGGTGCGATCAAATTATATCAAATTAAAATCGATTGGGATTAGTTAGATTCGATTGAAATTAACAAAAAAATCGGTGCAATTCGAAAACGAATGTTTTTTGAGTGACGAAAAGCTGTTTGGTCTCCATAAATTGGAAACGTGTACCGCGCGAGTTTTCCTCGCGTTCCGTTTTAATGGAAAGCAAACAAAACGACTCCATCGGCCTATCGGAGGGTTAATCAATTAAACCCATCATCGTTTCTTGTCTCGATTCAATCCAGCTTTTAACTCCCAAAAAAAAAAACGAAAAGCATTTTTTTAATTAAATTAAAAAGAACGTTTTCAAAATTGGAAATCTATAAAAACAATTTAATTTACTTAAAATTTATTTAATTTTTAAAAATGAATATAAAAATAGAAACATTCGGGTTTAGCCGTGTATCTTCAGAATTGGTAGCAGTTCCTCGTCATTTTTCTGCAGTATCTAGTATTTTTTCAGCAGTGTCAAGTATTTTGCCAGCAATGTCTAGTGCTTTTCTAGTAGCATGTAGTCGTATTCTAGCAATAGCTAATCTTCCATTAGCAGTATTTTATCTTGTTTTCATAGTATCTGATCTTCTAGCAGCAGTTCTTTGTCCTCTTCCAGCAGTATCTAGTCTTCTTTCAGCAGTATTTATTCTCAGCAGTCTTTTGTTAGCAGAATACTATTTCAGCAGTGTCAAGTCTTTTGCCAGCAATGTCTAGTACTCTTCTAGTAATGTGTAGTCTTTTTCTAGCAGTAACTGGTCTTCCATTAGCATTAGTTAATTCTTTTCCAGTAGTATTTGATCTTCTAGCAGCAGTTCTTTGCCCACTTCCAGTAGTATCTAGTATTCTTTCAACAAATTTTTATTCTCAGCAGTTTTTTATCAGCCGAATACTATTCCAGCAGTATCTAGTCTTTTCCAGCTGTGTCTAGGCTTCCATTAGCAGTATTTAACCCTTTCCCAGTAGTATCTGACAGTTAATTGTCTTCTTCCAGCAGAATCAATTCTTTTCCCTGCAATATTTAGACCTCCTCCACTATCTAGTTTTAATTCAATAAAAATATAATACAACATAACACTAAATAACAAGTAAAACTAGAACTAACACTAGACCTACAACTACAAAGTCTAGTTCTAGACTAGACGGCTCTCAAGACGGCTAAACCCGAATGTTTCTAGTTCTAGGTCTAGTGTCAGTTTTACGTTTAGTTCAATAAAAATATACAACAATCAAGTACTGAATAACAATTAGAACTAGAACTAGAAAGTTTCGGGTTTAGCCGTGCGTCTTCAGATTTAAACATATTTTGTTCGTTATATCGAGGTTTAACTGTATTATGAAATTGAATGTTTCTTGGAAGTTTAAATGTAGTTGGATCGCGTGGCGCCCCTCTTGGTTTAAAAAAGAGGATAGGTCTTAAATTTCACGCGGCGACACGATTTGCAACATTACGGCACGAAGAACGAACGGCGGCGCGCTCGATTAATCCCGGATAATATTTCGTTCGGTCGGTTGATTCACCGCGTGGTACAAACTACAACAATGAGCCGCCCGTAAAGAAATCATCCGACAACGATTATATACGTCTCTGTAAAACCGTTCGAATTTATCGATTCAACTCATTTTCTCTTTACAAATAAATAATAATAATAATATCGTGGAAACGATTTACGATTATTTTCGATCGACAATAATCACGAACGATTTAATTCGAAATTGTTTAGGGCCGGTTGTACAATATATCGATAAACTTCCCGACAGTGTTATCTGGCCGATAAGTTAGTTTGTACTGTATTACTATGTACGGATATTTTTGTCGGTGAGATTATCGGCAGGATAACTTATCGGGTACTCAGCGGTGCCGATAAGTTATCCGCCAGATATGTATGGTTACCAAGGTTTTTATATAAAAGCTTTATATGGTTACTGCATAGGTTAACCTATAACATTAATTTGGGGAAAATGTGCTACCAACCGACTCTTATTTCACCGATAGCAATCCTACCGACAAAAACAGTTTGTACAACACCGAATATCTTTATCCTCCCGATAAGTTTATCGGCCGGATAGTTATCAGGTAGATTTATCGGTATATTGTACAATAGAATAGTCTTAATTTTTAATCGTTTCTAATTTTTTTTTAGTTACAATAAAAATTATTTCATCTTATCGTTTAGTATGCTTTAAAGAGCGCTATGATGATTCTTAATAAAATAATTACTTGTTTGTCGAACGCTAATTACGACATTAGGTGCCCCATCGTTAAAAACATAACGCCCCGATTGTGATAACCTCGCGATATTGACCCCCAGAGTGATGATAATAATTGTACTAGAATCGAGAAAAGCGCGGCGTTGTTGTTGATATAATTAGGTTCATAAATTACGAACAGTTTATTTTTTTGTTGTTTTAGATAAAACAACGACGTTATACATTAATATTATTATCGTTTTCATTTTTTTTTATGTTCTAAACGAACCGTTTATTACTCATTTTTATCATTAAAAATGGAATATTTTATTTTTATCAAAAAAAAATTCTTTGGTAAAAAAAAACAAAACACAATTAAAAAAGAATTAATGATTACAATCTCAAAAAGGAAATAATTTAAAATTCGAATAAAATTTGTAGAGCGTTGTACAAACGACGATCCTTCCCCCTACAATAAAAATAAGTACTACTACTAAAGCGAATTACAATGCGCCAGGCGAACAAACGACTTAATTTGTCTCGATGGTTGCCTATGCAAATCGAGACCCCAATTAATCCGATACTTACACGGCCATTGTTATCTCTCTCTTTACTTATTTTCTTTTCTCCTCGTAACCGTCTCGTTTAGCATTTTGTTTGTGCCGCCGCCGATTTAATCACAGCTGCAATTGGTCGACGATTTCTAACCAACCCTCAAAATGGTATCAATCCCTAAAGAAGGGATTCCCCTTTTATTGTTCAAAAATCACCCCTATATTAGTATCCATAGCAACCAAGTCCCTTAACAACTATTAAATCGAGATTTTATAACTTGAAGACTTACTAAAATTAAAAAAAAGTTCCAAATACTTTCCATTTGTGTTATGGTGATGTTTCAATCAATTAAAATCATTTTGAAACGTTCCATTTAACTATTTTGAACTTTTTTCAATCTCTTCAAGTATTTTGGGGATGAAATCTATTGATTTGAATCATTTTGCGTCACTCTAATCATCAGTTCCAATTTTCGCAAATTTTTGAAACATCTGGAGAAGATTCTTTTTCATTTTATTGATCACTTCAATGATTATCAAATAGCATTCGATGTTTTAAATCGATTACAGGTATTTCTATTTATAAATTTCATTATTTATAAGTATTTCTTATTCTTTCTTAACTCTGAAACACTTGCAAAACCCATCAAACTGCTTTTTCTTAATTACGTAGTTTTTTTTTCAATATTATCGATGTGATTTCAATCGATTAAAGTCATTTTGACACACTCCAATTTAATTTCTCTATTTCCTGGTAACTTTGAAACTCTTAAAAATTATAGATATCATTTTTCTTTAATTCTGCCATCGTCCCTAAGCATCTTTGAAATGATTTTAATAAATCAGAATTATTTTGATTCACACCACTCACCTTTCAACGTTTTTTCAAGTATTTGCAACTTTTTGTGAATATCCCATTTAACAATTTTAACTTGTTTCGACATCGTCAAGCATTCTGAGTATGTAACCAATTTATAGAAGCAATTTGAATCACACCAATCATCAGTTCCTATTTTTGCAAACTTTTGAAACATTTGGAGAAGATCCCTTTTGGTTTTATTAACTTGTTTTTGCATAGCTAAATATTTTTTTTCTTTTTTTTTAAGGCCCATCGACATCTAAGGTCATTAAGGCCACATTGCTAAATATTATGGAAATGTTTATGGAATTTTTTAAACGAAAATGTCCAGATTTGTGTTTATATAGTAGTGATACTGGTGCTATGCACCATCGGGTGTTGTAAATCCCAAAACTGATTAAGATAGCTGTGGGTTTTGGCAGTATCCCGACATAAATTTTTAGGCGTTTCTGGTTTGTTGATTGTCTCAATGGATACAAAATCGAGTACTGTCATCTTTCTTGGTTTGAGATTGAGCGCTAGAGGACAAAGTAGAGAGCTGAAACTTCCCATCCATGTTGACCGAAATGACGGGACATGAAATCTGGTTTCCTTGTTATTCTCAGGATGGTTAATCGATGTTACACTTTACCTGGTATGTACTATTTGTGGGCAATTAGAATAAGGAGTAAGAAGATTTGGTCAAAACAAAATCAAGGAGGGTTTCGGCAGGAATTTGAGTACTTGGCGTTTAGCATTCAATCTATTCATTCTGCGCCGAAGGATATCACAAAGCCGCTTTACCCGTCAAAGATTAACTCACTCCTCTTTTTGTCTCCTTGCTTCTATCTGCAATACGAAAATATTCCTTTTGATCCCAGAAAAAGAGCCTAGACCAATCTTCTAAAAGCAGTGCCAAAAGTTAACCGGTATTTGTTCCATGATACTAGATCAACTACCACCTTGTAGTGTAGTTTGATGATGAACACTAAATGATGAATAGCTATTGTTGAAACGTGCGGGGTTTTCCTCCACTGAGTCCTCATTATCACCATTGGTCACCATTATTGTTATGAACAGAACAATAATGGCGGGCACAATCTTAATTAGGCACTTTTACAAAATGGCGAAGTTAATTTGCGCTTGTTGCTCTGCCGGCCGAGAGTGAGATTTTTGCATTATTCTGTGCTTCTGCTTTAATAAGTCTGATATAGCAGATTGAGGTTAAACAGTGTTGGACGAAGAAGGATGGGCGTGATATTTAGGAAATTTATTTAATGATCTTTTTTGAGATGTTGGAGTCGCAAAATGGTAGTGGAGCAATAGTATCAAACTTATTTTGGTGTAGCATATATTCCAGTAAATGTGAATGAGGAGATTGTGTTGATACAAATAGCAACATGGTTATTCTTTGAGTTATATTTGTTTTACCAACTTAGACTGTGTTAAAGTTAAAATTCCCAACTTTGTTGACAATATGAAACAAAACATTTTTTATCTCATACATTAAATCAACATACGAGATTTAATAGTTAAAAAGCATCAATTTGATTATTTCGACAACAAAATTTATTGATGGATATGATTTGATCGTTGTAATCCTCAACTTTTATTTATTGCAATATTAATTGCGGTTTAAAACCACTTTTATTTTAGACCACGCCTCTTGATTACCCCCTCCTTTCTCCCTACCTCTCGCGTTAACGTCGAAGTGGTGGGGAGAGATCTCCGGATAATTCGCCTTTTTCAACACATCTGCTCTCTGGCTGACGCGATTTATCGTTGGAGACACGCCCCACCGCAGCCGTATCGACCTCGGTATGCTTTTGTTCGAATTGATTTCGGCGCGTAAGGCGGACTGTTTATAACGAATTATTATTTCGCCGGTATTCACGGTGTATATTGGGGGATTGTCAGAGAGGAAAGAGAAAAAAAATGAGTATATCAAGGGAAGCTATTTCAACTTGTTTTAAGCGACGATGCTATCTCGATTATTTCTCTTTTTATTTAATATTTTTTTACTTGGATTGTTTTTATTGAAAGCGCGCTTCTTGATTTTAATCGTAACCAATTTACTCTTTTAATTGGTTTCGTTCCCTCGCATACAAGAGTCAATTACTTTGAGAAAATTGTGATAATTTTGTGAGGTTAAGTGAGTAATTAATTAACGTTATCGTTTTGTATTAATTTATAACGCGCCATCTATTAACTTGAAATGTCAAATTAAAATTTACCTAACAAAATTTGAAAAGTAAGGTTATATTTTTTTTTACATTTTTTTCTCCGCCCATTGTTGGATAATTATCGTTTATAGTTTCGCCCCAAATTACCGTCTGTAATTAGTAGATAATTCCCGGCCCCCATTACGGTTTTCCTCGAAACCCTAAAATAATTGGTGGGTTTCGAGATCGGGGTCCATCTTCTTGAAAAAACGTCCGAAAACGATGAAGGCGGCGATCCGACGAAGAAAGAACGTGTGCTGGGGCAAATTACAGGTTCGGCCCCGGTTTCCCGTCCGCTTAATTCGTTTAGTTTAAGCCCTAGTTTACAGTGCGGTGATCCGATAACGACGTGACGGACAATTAGCGCCGCGACAGACGGCCTACAGGTGGCGTTCACCATCATTTTTTTCTCCTCGTTAATTTTTAATAAAAAATAAAAAACTATACATTTGGATACATAAAAGTTCAAAAAATGATTTGACAATGGATTTTTAAATAGTAATAAACATAATAGTGCAGATAAAGAAAGAATACTGGAAATAGTTTCAGAATAGGTAGCAACAATCAAGAATTATGGGGAAATCACATCAAAAACATTACACACCATGAAATCAACTCAACCCAATCCAAGCAGTGACACGATTGTAAAGAAACGAAAATGTTGTATACATATATGATGAGGGTTATTTTGAATTTGGTTTTACGTCATCATAAATTAATGGTGAAGAGAGTCCATAATGTGTATTGTATATGAAAGTTTTGGAAAGGGAATATATGCTTCTAAGTAAACTGAAGCGCCCTTTAGAAGCTATCACCGTGATTTTTTGCCAGGAACTTAAAAGAAGTGGAACAACAAATTACACATTTTTTTAAACTGCATCTAACCAAACAACAGTTAATTCGCATCTTGGTGGGTTACAAAATTGCGTAATCTAAGATACCATCGTAGAAGAATGGTGAGTTTGCTGAAAAGTTGCTTTTAAAAGTGGCTTCAGGTCAAAGTAATATGTGGTGAATATGGTCAATTTTATAAGATCTCTTTCATTTTATCTCATCCTATATACCTATGGTTGTAGCATTCTCGTCTTTATTGTACTATAGCAGTGAACGATGTATTTCATGTGGTAACATTTTATCATGTACAGGATGGTTCAAATTCGAAGTCCTAATCTGTTAACTCGAAAATTTTAAGAGTTAGAAAAAAGTTGCTGAAAAAACTGCTAATGCCGAAAACCTCAAAGCGCTATCGTCTTTTGTTTTTCCCCTAGAGGCCAAAATTGAAAATATGGTAAAACCAACAAGTGCAAGTATTATTTAATGATTCACCGACAAGACCATAGCAGCCTCGGAAATGGATGCCGCGTTTTATATCATATTTTGTGATAACATTTTTAAGCAAAGTTTAAAAGTAATAGATTTTTAAATTTCCATAAAATATGAATCTCTTTCTAAGTGGTATTTTTCAACTGAGTTTTTGGCGGTCGCTTTAAAAGTATACAGCAAAAATCCAACTTCTTAAATCTTTTTTTAGTCCTACTTATGGCTGATCGTGACTTTATACCTTTTCTTATAATGAATCCGTCTGCAACCTCAACTCTTTTTCAACACTCACAGTTTTGTTACAATATCATTTAATCGTTTTCTTATCATTGCCGTGTGAAAATCCATCAAAACTTTCAAAGACTGTTGTATTAGTCCAATGTGTGTAGTGTGTTAATTTTAAGTGTAGAGGTAGTAGTAGACTATTTTTTGGGTTTAATTTCATGAATGGCAACTTCGGTTTCGTCTTTCAAGGCCTCTATTGTCTCTGGATGGTTAGCGTAATATTTATCCTTAACAGCTCCGCACAAAAAATAGTTCAACTGGCTCAAATCACAGCTTCGAGGTGGCTTCGACGTGCCCAAAAGCTCAATTGTTACGTTGGCTGTGTGGCCAATAGCGCCGTCCTGTTGAAACCACACGTCGTCCATGTCATCTACGTCAATTCATTGGAAACAAAGATTTGTTGAGCATGGCACGGTAACGCTCGCCATTACCTTTGAAGAAAAATGATGCCACCATGCCAAAATCTACACCAAACAGTCACTCGTTTTGGGTGCTTCGGCTCCTGAATAATGACGTTTGCATTTTCTGAGCCTCAAATGCGTCAATTGGGCTTCTTTGAAAAGATGATGTTTCGTAAAAATGCTCATCTTAACCGAAGAGCGATTTCCAGTCCATTGAGTGAACTGAAAACGCATTGGATGGTCATGAGGCTTCAGTTCTTGGAATAATTGAACTTTGTATGCCTTCGTAGGCGATGTTGCTAGATTTTCACGCATACTCTGGGCAGCAGCAGTAATGTTTTAGGCTGAATGAACTGGACGAGAACGTGAACGGGTTGTTTTGTCCAATAACGATCCGGATCCATTCTATTTTTCAAAATTAAGGCCCAGCCTATAACAATCGTTAATGGGATTATTCGGACCTTTCCATATTATTGGATCAACATATCTAGTTGCACGACTAATCGCAAAAATAAAAAACTACCACGAATGTTTTTATAAACGCGATTAAACATGTTTGACGTTTCTTAATCATTTAGTAACAACTGATGGGTTAAAGGGGCAACGTCGCTTAAATTAAATCACATAATTTAACATAAATAAAATCAATAATAAAGATATTACTTTTTATATACATACTATTTTATGTATTATTAAAAATTGTTTAAAGAAATTCAAAATTGAATTCGATCCGTCGGGAGCAGCCATTTTTTCCTATATCAACCGGAACAAAGCCATTTGTCACGGGAAACAAACTCATGCAAAAAAAAACGCACCCAACCCAACAACAACAAAAAAAAAATTAACCCAACCAAACGACAGCCCATTGTATCACAAGGGTAGAGTAGATTATTGTTCCCCCATTTTTTGACTACCCCCTTTTTGGGTATGCGCAAAATCGTTACGCCAATTTATCAAAAGGTTAATGGTCCAGAAAATTTACGAGTTAGTTTTCAACCCGCCACCCCACTTCGTCCACCCAGATTCAACAACACCAAAAAATCAATCTTTTATGTTATTTTTATCCTTTTTTAATAATAAAATTTTTTCTTCTAGGTTAAAGTATGGTTCCAAAATCGCAGGACGAAACACAAAAGAATGCAACAAGAAGAAGAAGCGAAAACGAGTCAAGGCGGAAGTAACAAAAGCGGGAACGGATCGTCGCAGGGAAATAATTCGCAAATGTCCAAATGGAAGGATGAAAGTAACGACGAAAATCAATACGATAGTTATATAGACATGGAAATGGACGAAGAGTGTGTTAGTGATGTTGAAAGTGAAACGTAAACTATTTTTAAAAAAATAATTATGATAAATACGTAAATAAAAGAAAAGAAAAAAAAGGAGATGCGAATGAAGTAAGTGAAATTAGAAAAAAAAAAAAGAAATTTAATATAAAAAACTAATGTGTGTTATGTTATTTTTATAAAAAGTGGTTTATACATCGCTTTAAATTAAAATAACATAATAATTAATACAATCTTTGTATTAAATACGCGATTTAATTGATGCAATAACTTTTTTTCTAAGAAAAAAAGGCGGAACGAGAGTTTGTAAATAAATAAATTAAAAAATAAATAAACAGATAAAAACTCAGTAAATAATATGATGTATAGAAGTACGTATATAAAAATATAAATAATATAAATACTATATTTTTAGTTGAATCCGGTTTTGTAAAAGTAAAATATGAGTTTTACGTATGCAGTGCCAACTTCTTGTGCCAAATCTTCCCCAAGACGATTCATTAAATTTATCGTCGCGTAGTGCCAATTAAAAAAATCTCTAACAAACTTATTTCCCCCTATTATTTTTGTTCTGTTGTAAATAGAAGGATTATTTTCAATTTATTTATTCTCCATTCTTTTTGTTATTTTTTAATTAGTTAAAAGAGGTTGTCTATTTATTTTGTATCGCAAATATATTTTTTTTTGTGTAAATATTATAAATACGCGTGTCCCCACAACCGATTTATTAAAAATTTAAAAAAGAAGTATTAAATGTCAAACTAAAAAAAAATCTAGAATGCTACATCATTTTTAACTGTCATTAATAATAATAAATGCAGTTTTAGGTTATGTTTTGTACCAACTCAAAACGGGTTAAAATTAAAGTAACCATTCTAGATATTTTTTTACATTAAAAAAATAAATAAATTTAACTTTTTTTAAATTTAATTTCTTTGTAAAAATACCGTGCGAGATAAAAAAAAGAAAGTTTGTATTTTTTTTCTATATTTAAGAAAACCAAGTGATTTTAAAGTTTCTTTTTCATTGTGTAAGTAGCAAGAAAAAATCGCGACACCGAAAACCAGTCCTTTACCTTTGTTGTGTTGATAAAACTACGATGTACTTAAAAATTGTAAAAAGTGGACAAAAAAACGAAACAAAAAAAATTTTATCATACAATTTTTTTGTGTATTATTTAAATCGAAAAATCCTGTTACTCCTTAATCTCAAAAAAAATTATCTTTTATTTTGTAGTGTTATTAAAACGATTTTGTGTCATTTTGTAATTAATTATTAACAAATATCATAAAATATCAATAAAGTTGTTCCAAGAAACAGTACTTTATGACTTGTTGAACCGGTCTACACTAGAATGCCGATTTTGTTATGCAGACTTGATTACAGTGTTGGGCGTGGACTTTTTCCTATATTTGATAACATACACCATCAATGGTTGGGTTGCTTGCATTTGTGTCGCAAATGAATTTGCTTTCTGCTCGAAGAAAACTCAATATCAAGGTTGCGACTCCCAGACAGAAAATATCTTGGAGTTTTTTGAATTCTACTGTATCTCTGTTTTTTTTTTGATAACTTTAGGTTCAATTTTATTAGGCCAATATCGACATCACAGAACAGCATCCATTTTTTTTTCATTCTTACTAAGACTTGCACTGGTGATTGAGGTGGGTTTACCGTCGGAAAAAGTAATCGAGAGGGAATCGATGGAAAATATAATTAAACAAAATGTTATGAGGCAAAATTTGAACTTTGTGACGGAAGGAGTTCGAGGTGGAATATCGAGTTTCAACATTTTTTTGCCAAAATATTTTATATATCGATAGTACGCTGCTTATATAAAACTACATTGTGTTGATGGAAGACCAAATCCTCCTAATAGAAAACTACATACTACTTGCAGAATGAGAAAGAGACAAGTTATTACCAATGGAAGACTAAATACCACATCAAAAGAATAAATACTAATGGAATAGAAAACTAGATACTGTTTTCTAAAGACTCCATGCTGAAGACTATGTTGATTGACTACTGAAAACTGTCAATGGAAGACTAAACAATATTGACAGAGGAGTAGATACTATTAATAGAGTTGTGCAAATTGACAATAGAACACTAGATACTGCTTGCAGAAAATAAAATAGTGCTGATGCAAGATTACACACTGCTGACAGAAGAAAAGGTAAGTTGCAAAATTAGAGCAGGTACTGATACTAATAGATAACTAGATCTGCTTGCAGACGATTAGATGCTGCCAATGGAAAAGTAAATACAACTGAGACAGAAGTGCATAGTCTTAATGAAAGATACTGCTAACAGAAAACTAGATTCTTCTAATGGAAGAATATATTGTGGATGCAAAAGTCTTCATTTCAGCGGGGTAAACACTGGACACTGTTTTGATGTCAGCGATTTCAATTAGTCAGAACTTCTCTGCATGAACCACATCTGAATCCGCACCGTTTGAATCCGGGTGTACAGACTTTTCGATTGCGAAATGGGGATTTTTAATAATGCGGCAATTCTGTTAATTGACTTTGTCCCAGAATTAAAGAGAGTTTCGCTAAACTAAACCATATTCACATCAAATTCTTGATTGTCAATCGTCTTGACAAGATTATAGGCGAAATAAATGCTACAATTATACCAAGTTTGTTTTATCTTAAACATGGTGTAAAAGTTTTATTTGTATCTCTAAATCTTGTATATAATTACCTTTCTTGTTCGCCTCTCCAATCTTGTATATAATTTGAAAAAAAATATTTTTCTTCAATATCAACCGCATTGACAGATTTTATTAAATTGACAATCACTGCTGCAAACCCAATACAATCAAAATAATTTATTTCTCACTTTCAATTAAAAATAATAATAGTTTTCGCTTAATTGATTACAAAAAATGAATAAACGTTATTATTATTTTTAGTGTAACTAAATAAACTTTAGAAACGTTTAATTGAAATTATAAAAATAATTTTATAAAAGTGTTACCAACATAAATTATTTTTAACTTAAAATTAATTATTTATAAAATTCTCATTTAGTTAACGTTATTAACAAAAAAAAGACAAACTTCTTTACAATTGTCGTTAATCTTAAAAAAAAGTAAAAATAAATAAAGTTTTTTCCTATGAAAACATTTCCGTTATCAAACCAACTTTTTGTTAGGTTATGTTTTAAATTGTTTTCAATCATTTTTAATCGAGGTAAAAACTAATTTAAGCAATTTTAATGCATTAATACTTATTTAAGTATAAAGTAGGTTGTTGTGTTTTCACAAATGTTAAATAATTATCTACTAATTAGTTTATTTTCCACAGGATGATTGACGGAGGTTTTTATTTTTACATAAATTTTTTTAAATATTTTGACGTCAGTAACTGTTTATTTTTTATCTATTTTATAAAATATTCTAGATAAAGCGAAAGCAACATTTCAAAATCATTTATAAATTAAATTTCGGATAAACAACATCACACTTTAATTAATAATAATTTCGATATCGTATCGAAAGAAATTAACAAGTTTCAATAAACATTTCCATCAATCAAAAATCTATTTTTCCTTTTAATTGGAACGAAAATTATTCTAATTTGTATTGATTACTTTATTTTTTTTATACATAGTTGTTGGGTATCAAATTATACCCGCGATTAAAACGAGAGGAAAAATAAAACCCACGATATCTTTTAAGTTAAAACGAATGGTCGGGTTAAGGTCCGAATCTTGAGAAGATGTTCAACACAATGTGGACACGAAATTGGTAACTGGACACCCCATAAACAACGTACCGAGCTGAGGGAATAGGTTCGTGCTGGGCGTTAGCACTCCAGATTTACATAAAATAAAAATCAATTACATCCGGAGAAAGATTTAATGTGAACATTAGTTTTAACTATAAAAATATTTTTCTCACGATAATTTATAAAGTAAAATAACAAAAGTTTTACTTTAATACAGATTAAAATGTCTGAAGATGCACGGCTAAACCCGAAACTTTCTAGTTCTAGGGCTAGTGTTAGTTCTAGTTTTAATTATTATTCATCGTTAGATTGAAGATATTTTTCTGTATCCCTTTTAATTTTTTAATTATGACCTTCATTAGTAGCGAAAATCAACATCTTTGGTATTATTATGATTTACACTTTCTTACTTATATATTATACTATGTAAGAACTATCTGTTTATGGATTATGTCTTCTTGGTTAATAATAAACAATTTATCCCCAAAGTACTTTTTTCCATAGTCTTTAGTTTTTGAGTTATGATCGTCTATAATCTATAACCACGAAAAACATAAATTCTGATTCACGGATTACCGTCATTTAACTAGAATACAGAGATAGGTATCTGAATTAGATCTGGTTATGAATTCTGTTTTCTTCCATTATTATAAACAATTTATATACACAATATTTCTCTCTATCCCTTTTAATTTTTAAATTATAACCTGCATTAGTAACGAAAATCAACATTTTTAAAATTTTGGTAATTTACACCTTCTAACTAAAATATTATAACAATTAACTCCTATCTGTTTATGAATTATGCCTCTTTGCATTATTATAAACAATTTATATACACAATATTTTTCTATACCTCTTTTAATTTTTAAATTATGACCTTCATTAGTAACGAAAATCAAGATTTTTTATGTTTTCATGATTTAGACTATCTAACTAAAATTTTATAATAATTAAGCCCTATCTGTTTACGGATTGTGTCTTCTTGTTTTATTATAAACAATTTATCTCCAAATTTCATTAGTTTTTGAGTTATAACAACAAAAATTGTCAAAAGCGCCTGAAGACGCACGGGTAAACCCGAAATTTTCTAATTCTAGATATAGTTTTAGTCTAGTTGTAATGTTAGTTCTAATGCTAGAAACTGAAACCAGAATGTTTCTGGTTTAGCGGTGCATCTTCAGAGTCCTTATACTTTTTAAAGTGCATTTTAAAATCTTTTTTATCAACTTCAAATCGTACACAACTGGATAATATAGTGTTCGTGTAATAAAATCGTAAATTTACGATGTTATTAATGGTCCTGATCGAAATGACACATAGGCGTCGGCATTAGGGATCGTTATTGGTCAAAGAAATAGAGGAAAATAACGATACGTTAATAGAATATTGACTGTATCCTGTTGGTAATTGATGGAAATCGAGTTGGTTTTAACTCGAAGCTTCGGTATATATGGGAAGGAGGTAATGACGCGGTTACGTAAATACCACCGTCTCTGCTATATGTACCACTTTTACCCCACCTCACCCAAGAATCCCTAGATGCTTGTTTGCGTGCCTTTCGTGAGAATCGCGTTTAACATCTTTCTCTCCTTATTCATTACCCATTAAAACGAAGAGAGTAATGTTTTCCATCGATTAATTAATTTATTACTATCGATTTCTTAATATCACTAAATTTAATTTTTTATTATGGTAGGTTATGTTAATGTCAAAAATGACATTTTTATTTTTAGAAAAATATTTAAAACAAATTTGTGTGATTTTAAAATTTTGATTATAATTTGCATTTAATTTATGTAATTTCCGATTAAATAATAATTGCTTAAATTTACTTCTTTTTTACTTTTAACAAAAAGGGGCGAGTTCGCACCGTGGTCGTTTAACAAGCAAGTATTCATTTACAGATATGCATTTTAATAACGCTCTTATGCAGATTAGCATGTGGTCACAGTCGACGAGGGCATTTTTCACGTGAAATTGCTTAATAATTGTTCGCAGTGCCTTCCATTTAGTCCCGGATAACGAAGAAGACGTTGTTTATGTCTCCTTTTTGCAGTTTTTTTATTTATTCTCTTTCGATGTATTATTCATTCGATTAGCGAGAACACCATCGCTAGCCCTTTTCATACAGGTACTATTTATTTTCAAACTTAAACCCGTTATAAATGAATTATAAATAAATATTAATAAATTATTGCTTTTACGGGACGTTATTTTTAACTTTGTTTATTAATAAAAACATGTTTTATTAATGATTTTGTCTGGTATTCCATTAGTAGTAGCTAGATTTCTACCAGACATGTCTAATCTTCTATTAAGACGATCTAGTTTTTTACTGGTAGTGTCTAATCTCCTTCCAGCAGTATCTAGTTCTATTAGCCATGTTTTGTTTCCTTTAAATCTAGTCTTCTGCAAGCAGTATCTAGTCTTCTATTATCAGTTAATTTCTATTGGCATTATCTTGTCTTCTGTTAACAGTAACTAGTTTTCTATCCACAGTGTTTAGTCTTTTATAAGAAAGATTTAGTCATCTATAAACAATATATTTGTCTTCTACCAGCACTGCCTGGTCTTCTATTAACAGTATCTCGTCTTCTGACACCAGTGTTTAGACTTATATAAGGAGGATCTAGTCTACTGTAAACAGTGTTTTCTAGCAGCAAAATTTGTAAGTAATTGGTAGTAGATTTGAATTATAATTTTTCCCTTAAAAATATATTCAAAAACATTTTTCTCATCTTTCCATAACATATGTCACGCATTATTATATATTATAGCGTTTTTTATGTCAGATTCAGGTTGAGATCCACTCCACAAGCGTTGTTTTTGTCAGGCCACTTATATCTGGAAAGAAACACGGTGTAGTATTGATTCATTACATCAAAAGAATTAAAAATTATCTCACAAGCAGCATAAGCCATCATAATAAACCAACAATTTAACTGATAAGCTTATATGAACCATTTCATTACTCATTGGTCAACGAATGATGAAAAAGGAACTACGATTAGCACAATTCGATCCACGCTGAACGGGCCATCATCACCGAAATGGCAATCCCAGGATTTCCTTCATATCTAGTTCTGAAATATTAAATATTATAAAGCAGTTTACAATTCCATAATTGCAAACAGAACTGTGTTTACAATTACAGAACTCTGACAACTTTAAGTATCATTCTTTTTATCATATTGTTACATTTATTCAAGAACTTTTTTGTGTCTGTTTTCTTTTAATTTATGAATTGGTATTAAATATTAAACTTGAGGAGCAATTTTGCAATTTTAATTTTCCCTCGATAGTTGATGGACGTTTTAGAAATGTAGAGCGACTATCACATAAAAATGCGATAAACTTGAATCTAGGCTACTCCACTTAATCCAAAGTGAAACGAAACGAAAATGCAGAGTTAAATTGAATCGCAATTTTTTTTTATGAAAAAAACTTTCTTTGCATTCATATGATTTTCTTTAAATAAATTAATTTTGATTCATTTAGTTGTTTGATTACATTTTTTTATATAAATTAAATAATTTAACCTAACATTTTAACAATGTCATTTCTAATTCAAGTCGAAAATAAAGAAAAATAAATAAACTTTATTTAATGGTAAAAATATATTTTTTTGATAGTTTTATATGCAATATATGTAATTACAACGTTTTGTAAATTAAAAATAACAAATTACCGATTAATTATTAAAAAAACAATTAAATTTAGAGATTTTTCGTTTTTAACAAAAATAGGATTGGTAGTACTTTTTATCGAAGATTCACAACTGTCAATATCGTTGTTGACATTTGTTATTAAGTATTTTATTAATTATTTTAATTAATAGTGCGTTTTTCGTGTCAAAAATGTACCAAAGAAACAAGATTAATACGAAGTTAATCAAACAAATTAAAATCTTTACGGCTAAGTTTCATAAACTGAGGTAAGTGGACCAAACATAACCTAACCTCAACAAGTTTTATATTTAGTGAAATTAATTTTCATTTGATTTTAATTGAAATTGTTGATTTTAATAAGTGTAAACGTGGTTTTAATGATGTGGAGAGCAATTCGAGAACTAATTGAAAGGCTACAACACGCTTATAACTCGGTCATATTTAAAGCGGTTTATGCAAAATAGATTGCGGAATAAGTTATACGAGCTGCGACGGTTTGTTTTCCGTGCTGTTAAAAAGAGAAGGATATTATATTGCGATTCGATCGTAACTCTGCCGAGCATCGATGTTTTGTTCTCTCCACCACCTTCCAGACGATTTATAACCACCTCAAAATGACGTAGTGCACACTACAAACGATTTGCCCACGCGTTTATAACAACGCTGACAAACGGAAAGAATAAAAAGAAGAAGTACAAGTGAAAATACGTAAGAGACGAAAATGTAAAATTTTCTGTATTGGTGGTTTGACTAATTTCATAAATTTATGCGTGAAAATTTATTATCCGTTTACCACCATCGCAGTGTCCCTTAGGAGTTTTAGTTGACCACTTCGATTTGCATGTAAAAATAATTACGCGAATGCAGCGCCGCCACTGTCGCCCGTGCGAAAAGTCCATTAATACCCAACTCTTTATACAGCTGCCCAACAATAACGAAAACGGCCATTAACCAGAGAGAAAGAAAGAAAAAAAGAGAGAGTAAAAGAGTGGTGTATATTTTTTGTTCTTTTCTAAAAGGAACCCCCCGCATCGAGATACCCTCATTATCATACCACCCGTTGCCTTTTCCTCTTCTTTTCTAACTCTAGATCTATATAAATTTCTAGTTAGAAGTAAAGGGACATTAATTACTTCTGGACATTTTTCATTGTCACTGAATGTGTGGGTTGTTGTTGGGTTTTTGCTTTTGTTTTATATGTGCGGGGTGGATTTTGTTATTTTCATAAAGAAAGGGCTTGGATAAGGATAATTAAGAGTGTTTTATATTTAATGGTCATGAAATGCATTAATTATTTTAATTTTAATAATTATTATTTCGCTTCATGTGGAAGAAAAAGTTGTTTATAACGAGGTCTATTCAAAAGTGAGTAGTAGTAGTCGACACTTGACTGATGAAGGGTCGACAGATCGATGGCCACCGGATCGTGGCGCACCTTTTCCTTTTACACAATTGACACGTAGAAAGTCCTGTTCGTTTAGGGCTCCTGTTACAGCAGCAACTGCAACTTCTCACCATCATCATTCATCACACATTTATATTCCCGATTATTGTTATTATTATTAATAAAATAATACATTAAAACAAAAAGTGTTTGAATCAATGATTTATATACACACAAATTTGAAATGGTATCTACACCGTTGCGTTCTGTATTTGTTAGTTTAATAAAACTATACAACAATGTAATGCTAAATAACAACTAAAACTAACACTAGCATTAGAACTAACACTACACCTAGAACTAGAAGCATTCGGATTTAGCCGAAAGTCTTTTAAGACGGCTAAACCCGAATGTTTCTAGTTCTAAATCTAGTGTTAGTTCTAATGGTGTTGTTAGTTGTAGTTTCAGTTGTTACTCAGCGTTAAATTGTTATATATTTTGCATTGAAATAAAACTAGAACTAACACTAGACCTACAACTAGAAAGTTTCAGACGCACGGCTAAACCCGAATGTTTCTAGTTCTAGGTCTAGTGTTAGTTCTAGTTTTACTTGTTATTTAGTGCTATGTTGTATTATATTTTTATTGAATTAAAACTAGATAGTGGAGCAGGACTAGATATTGCGGGGAAAAGAATTGATTCTGCTGGAAGAAGACAATTAACTGTCAGATACTACTGGGAAAGGATTAAATACTGCTAATGGAAGCCTAGATACTGCTGGAATAGTATTCGGCTGATAAAAATCTGTTGAGCATAAACACTGTTGAAAGAATACTAGATACTGCTAGAAGAGGGCAAAGAACTGCTGCTAGAAGATCAGATACTACTGGAAAAGAACTAACCAATGCTAATAGAAGACCAGCTACTGCTACAAAAAGACTACATATTGCTAGAGGAGCACTAGACATTGCTAATAGAAGACTTGGCACTGCTGGAATAGTAATAGTGCGTCTGAAGACGAACGGCTAAACCACAATGTTTCTAGGTCTAGTATTAGTTCTAGTTTTAGTTCAATAAAAATGTGCAGCAAACTAACGCTGAATAACCATTAAAATAAGAACTAAAACTAGCATTACAACTAAAATTAAAATCGAATAAGGATAAATATAAAAAGGTTATGAAGAATTAAAGTAACGAAGAGAGAAATCTTCGTTGCCTTTCATAAGAAGCAATATAACAAATTACAAGTGGAAACGCGCTTATTAGAAACAGTATAAATTACACGGTTCGAGATTATTAGATAAAATTACGGTTACGAACCGACTCTATTAACCTGTCATAACAGATTCCTGAAGGCCAGACACGTCCAACTCACACACACACACACACACACACTTTACGAATCCAGATGTTTTCCACAATCATCAACCGCGCGTCATTCAAAAACCTGGACACCTTCATTTCCTAACATACAAACTACCAACATAAAATAAAATTTGTTTCTATAGAATTTCTTAAAATTCGATTAAATTTTGCATAGTTCGGTTAAAACAAAGGGTGGGGGAATGAAATAAAGAATGAGGGGAAGAAGAGATGGTTTCTTTTTTTGTAATTGTTACGGATCGGTAATTAAACAAATAAATTACTAAACGGCGTCCGTTCTTCGGTTATTAATGACTCGAAGGGGGCCGCTGGGCCCTCGGAACTCGAACACGGTTATTATGTAATTATCAGTTAGTTTTAATCTCGGGTTAAGCAAACCTTTCAGTGCGGGCAACAAATTACTCACGAGGTGGCGTACACTCCCATACAACAAACTAACTTATTGCCACAACGCGGGCCACGCCCCCATCGTCGCTTTCTTTCCTTCTTTATTCAATTCTTTTTCAATACACCCATTAATAAAAAAAATTATATGGAGTGGTCTACACTCAACTTTATCAGAGCTATATGACATAGAGAAGTCCCATTCTAACCTACCTGCCATACTGTGATTAATTAATTACACAGACAGTTAACAGCGACAGTTAAAGTGTGAGTACATTTTTTTTGAGACACCTGTATATCGATAGCATCACATTTCAGATCAAAAAGCGTAGTCAACACGAAAGTGATATCTGCAACGTTGTTTTCAAAGAAATATAATCTTAAAAAATGTGCCAAATTGTGACACTTTTTGGAAAGAGAGATTTCAGAACCACAAAAACGATAATTTTTCTTGTTAACATAGCCATCAAGGTGAAAATGTTCTGTTTCTTCTTCAAATTCTTTTGGTAGCTGGGTTGGGTTGGGTTGGTTCTGGGTTTTGTAAGGCTTTAGACCAAAAGTTTTTCAAGACTTTTTAAGGTTATGCAGAAGCAGAGATTTACAGCAACCGATATATCCATTGTTAATAGAAGTGCAGTGCTCAAATTATATGTTATTCCATTTAGCAATGCAGTTATAAATAATCATAGCAAGTACGTAGGCGCAGTTTTCCATCCCTTGTCTAAGGTTGGTCTCAGTTGAAAGTGCTTTGCTAAGGCTAACATAATTGACACTTCCCTGGTCCGATCCAGACATTGGACAAATGTCAAAGTACGCATATACTAATATTGTAGATATTAAAAACTAAATTGCGTTTTAAAGAAAGAAGAAAGGTTCGGTTGCATTGTTTTAGAGTTGTTATTATTATGAACGCAGATTCTGGACAAAGTGGAGAAAAACAGCAAACGCATCAGAAGTATTGGGAAAATGAAGCACAGAGACAGAATACAGAATTTACAAAAAAAGTTTAGTGCAAGAATACAAAGTCTGCTAAAAAGGTATGGAGACAAAATGTAGAGTCTAATAAAGATCATAGCAATATGGAAATCATGCTAACAAACATCGAAGTTAGAAAGTTTTCAAGAAAGATACAGAATACAAGATGCATTGTATACAAAGTTTTGATGTTATTCATAACTTTATTTAGTCGACTTATTCGGTGGCCTTGTTGACTAATATCATAAAAATGAAAAATCTAACAACATTGCTAATGTCAGTCTTGAATCTCCCTACCTCAAAATGGGCATATTCCAAATTTGTTTCGACTCTGGCTGCTCATTCAATAACAAACTAGGTGTCTGCAGTCTTTTCTTCAACTTTATATTTATTAATTAGTTACTTATGGTCACCACACTAAGAAATATTTTTATTACTTCCTTATTCTTGGACGTAAACATAAATACCCTAACGAGGAGACGTTAAACATTAATTTTGTAAAGAGAAAAGATAAACATCATTCTTCCATTATCTACAATTTTTAGGTTAGCTGAGATATGTTAAACAAGCTTTTCCTCTGTAGAGAAGGAACAGGTTCTTCTGCTTTCTGAATGGGAGAAAAACTAGGAAGACGTTTCCAGAAGAAAGAACCGCACAAAACCCGGATGACAATCAAACATGAAACACCATCATTAACAAATATTGTTTATATTGCAGAACATTAAAAAACTTCTGGATGTTTTATAAAAGTAAGGTTTTAAGCAAATTTTGCAACTTTTATAGTTTCATTTTTATTGCATATCTTTTCTTCTTCTTATTCTTTGGAGCTCCGCTGACGACCAGACACGGTAACAAAGGTTACGGGGCACCGTTCACCATGATGGCTGTTCGTGAGTCAAAACCAGTGATTAAATCTTTATTGCCATTAACGGTGCGCAATGCAAACACCTTCGAGAACCCCAGGAGAAGGTAAATTATAAATGAATAATTAGATCTAGAATCGATATCTTTACAAAGATAAAATTAAAACTAAAATATTAATGACGTGTAATCAAATTTTGACAGATGACGTAAATCAAGTTAAATTTAGGGTGCAATCAGATATTATTTTTAAAAGATTTTATTTAATACAATAATAAATGTAAAAATTGATATTAAAAAAAATAATTCTTGTAATCCGTTTTACGGTCTTTAACACCTTGTTCTCAATTAACAGATAAAAATCGCGTTTACCATCGTGACCCGGACGACCGACGGCGGCGCAATCTACCGGACTCGTCGGGAGTTGAGTTAATTACCGGTCACGTACGATCATCTCTTCTTTGGTTTGCGTTGGAAAGAGACTTCTTCGTTTTCGTATAAACACCGCGACAACTACAGAAAGGAAAAGGAACGAAGATTACTGCTCGTTGAAAATGAAGCTTATAAACTCGGATAGTTCACCGCTCGTTTGCCGAGAGAAAATGAACAATCTGTGAAGGTTTATTAGGTGCCATTACTTAAGATGATGTTGTGAAAATGTGCGGAATACAAGTTGAAGGAAAAAGGGATAAGAGAAGAATTTGATTCTATCTCAACATAAAAAAAAATTTTTTTTAGGTTATATCTTTTCCGCTCTAAAGAGTAGGAGAGAAACGATGAGTGTGTGTAGAGAGAGGCTGTGTGGAGACCCGCTTTTAAATTCTCATAAATAACGGCTAACAATCCGCTAGTGACAGCTTGTTAAGTTCTAACCACAGGTTAAGTTATAATTAATGACTGACGTCACGCGGTAATTGTTGACCAAACGCTATTACGACCACCTTTTTTCTTTCTTCCAACCCAACCTTAACAACAACCAAACGAACTCCACCCCTAAAAAAACCTCATTTTCAAAAGAGCAAATTACCTTTCTCATTTTTGTTTTTGATTGATTCGAAAACGACATTTAAGAAATGTCAAAAAATTGATTTGATAACTTATTTCATGTTGCATAAAGTTTATTACAAGTACTACCAACCACCTACGACTAAAATTCCTGCTCGTACTCCTTCTACTCGGACAGATGCCTTAACGAGCAATATCTTTCCGTTTGCATCTCTTCTTCGCATTACGCCGTCGTATTTATTATAATTCTTGTTTCTCTCTTCTTCTTCCTCTTTCGTTTTGCCTGCTTTCAACGTTTTAAACGCGGAGTTATCCCGATGTTGATGAAGACATCGTCGGCTGTCCAACTAAAAGAAAATCGAATTCACGGTATTCATAAATAACAAATTAAGTTAAACTTAAAAAATTAATGGGTAGATAAAACGCGTTTTCCCTTTTCTTTCAATCTTTCTTTTTTGTTTCATCTTTGAAGATCGTCTCGTTACTCGGTTTTATTTGTCAGGTGTCACGCGGTCGGACGTGTTTATTGCGCGGAGCCCCATTAGGCATTGTGTCTCGAGCCTCAGAGGGGGGGCAGCGGCAGCGATGGTCTTCGGGGCCACGGAGAGAACGACGTCCACGAATATTGTGTGGTGCTGCCGAGTAGCGTATGTTTGTAATAGGCGAGGCGGATGTCAGCATGGGGCAACACTTCCAGCGGGCCCCCGACTCGGAACCCCACTGCCACGCCAGCGCCCTCAACTTTCCAGATACCAATCTCAATCGCGCCCAACAAAATTTTTCTTCATCTTTTATTTCTCTCTATCTAATAGTTCACCTTTTTTTCAAAACTATTAATTAAGTTGTGGTTATGTTATCACTAAAACGTTGTTAAACCAGAACGTAAATTTTTGGTTTGTTATTAAGTCGATCTCTTCGCTTCATAAAATCGGATTACATTCGGTAGTATATCAAGCGAGTTTATGAGGATTTTATTGTTGTTAAAATCGCGATTTAATCGGAATTAAATATTTTAATGGGTCTCGGGCGTTCCGCGAAGAAGAAGGCGCCGTAAAAACTATATTATCACGTTGGGGCTCGTGGCCCACGGGGGGGCACCCGACGGGGACGAAATATGGCGCTGGCGGCTGAGATGCGCGGTCCCGATACGGGGTCCGTGGGCCGCCGCCGCACACTTTATATTTTACCTTGACAATATTATTTGTTCGGAATTATTTTAAATATTGCGCCGAGAGCTTATTTATGGGGTCCCGTGGCTCAGGTACATTATTTCGTGTCCCTCTTCTTTTATTTACTTTTCGGGCACCGAAACAGAAGTGTTTGATGTGACAAGAGGTTGTAAATCTTATCACCTCATCCTATTTATTAACATAATCATTAATTTATATTTATTTTTGGGGTTAATTTAAGTATTTAAAAAAAAAAAAATTGGTTATGTTGTCAAATTTGACGTTTCATAAAATAAATTAACCTCACTTTCTTTAATTTAAATATTCTTCTGCATAGTAAATAACAAACTAATTAGTCTTGTAACCTTTAATCGTATGCAAAATCAATTCTATCGCGGTAATTAATTAGCATATTTGATCGATTGCGAGTTCGACTTTGTTTCTTTACAAACACAATTGAATTCCAGTATTTGAATTTTTTCGAATTTGTTTCAATCTGCATTTTATGCAATAAAGTTAATTGCTCGGTTACTAGAGTTGATTAGATAGTAATTAGTTCGTAGTTTGATTTTTTGCAGCACGCTCGTCGTTATTAAATAATTACCGCAATTTTTCATTCAAATTAGATGCCGTGGCATTCATAATTGATATTGAGAGCGGAGTGGTGCACGTGCGTCATTAAAACTCGGTAGAACCGTCGGAAAGTAAACGTTGTAATGCTTACATTAATACGATTTTCCAGTTCATCTAGTAGAAATATTTTGCGTGCGTGAGAATATAACCTCAATTAATATAATAACAACAAATCATAACATCTCAATAAATGAAAAATCATTAAGAAGCGTAACTAAAAATATTAAGGTTAATTTGTCAAATTTGACAGATATGAGTTAAGTTAGGTGTTAGGTTACGTTCAACAATTTACTTTTAAAAACAAAAAATCACTAAAATGCGTTAATGAAATATTTATTTTATTGCTTTTTATTTTTAATTTTTTAAATTCTTTGAATATCTTAATTTCAATTGAAAATAACAGGGTTTTTATCAATAAATCAATTTTAAAATGATTTTGTAACTAATAAGTGAAGTTAATTTTTTTCTAAAACGTCAAATTTGACAGATGAGTTAAGTTAGGTGTTTGATTCATAGTCAAGGTGAGGATAAAAGCCATCATGGATAACCAGATCTGCCGCAGGCTCTTTGGAAGGAATTGGAATCTTAAACCACGAATGGCTCACTGGGCTTACGTAGCAATAATCAGAGTTTGGTGGCCAAAATAAAACACAAGACACCACAACAACAGCTAGCACAAATCCAGCTTTTAACATGTCTTAACGGGTGCAATGAGATCTTGCCCAACGGCTGCTCCTGAAGCCCTTAGAAGCAGGAATGATTAGACGAAGGGTGAGCCTCAACTTAAAAGAGGAGCACTTATCTGGTACACCGATGTTTCAAAGAAAGTTGGATTCGGAGTAGGTATGGTCATTATTGGACCAAATAGCCACATTAAATTGCTTCTCTGCTCGGACATAACCATTTTTCAAGCAGAAGTTTGTGATACAAACATTTTCATGAAGAATCGGGCCGCCCTAAAGGCAATTTAGGCCTACACGTGTGACTCCCCACTGATCAGAGAGTGTACCAGCAACCTGAGAGAACTCGCTAGGAGCAATAATGTTATTCTATGGTGGGTTCCAGGTCACAGAGACATTGAGGCCAATGAAAAGGCGGACAAGGCGGCTAAAGAGGTAGCGAAAACGCCCTTTATTAGACCCCAACCCGGTTGTGGACTACAAAAAAGCCACTTAAAACAGGCAATCAATAGTTGGTGGGCCTCAAAGGTAGTCTTACGCTGGAAAGAACTTCCAGGTCACAGACAGGCGAAGTGTATGATAACTTCGCCGCAAAACAAAACCAAAGAGGTTTTATATCTCAGCAAAGGGGATTTAAGGTCGCTCTCAGGCCACCTCTTCCATATTGGACAAGCTGAGGATTAAACTTATCGACTTTGCAACGACGAGCAGAGACTGCTGAACATTTACTGTGTGATTGCGTCGCTCTCTCCTCAGCCCGACAGCAATAATAATAATAAGGTTTTTATCGATAAATCAATTTTAAAATGATTTTGTGAGGTTAATTCCTAAAATTTTAATAATTATTATCTTGAAACTTTATGATTATTTTAATCTTCTCTCAAACATCGACATAAATAATAATTAGTAATATCCGATAAGTATCGTTGACGAATAAATATCTTTCTGCAACTTAAAAAGAAATATAAAAATATAATTGACACTTGTTCGTTTCGGAAATTATTCATTAAGCGGGTTTTCCGTAATTCACCCCGTACATCTGCCTATGAAGGTGACGCCCAAAGGTGTTCGCGAACGAAACGAACGACGGCACCATCTGGACTCACTTCTGACTCCGCGGCAACAAAACCGGAAATGGTACAACTACAACGGCGACTTCGGGGCACTCGTCGTCGTCGTATTATTACGGTGTGTTGTCGTAAACGGTCTCGCTACGTATTAACCCCTTTTATTATTTATTAGGTGATAATTTGAGTCCGAACCGTGAACATGGAACGCTTCCATTTCGCGACGGTGTTCGCCTGTCAACGTGTTCAACAGTTCGGCTCCAAAGTAAATTATCACTTTGAACACCTTTTTTTAAACATCTCATTGTATTTCGTTTTCAGAATAAAATTGTTAAAATTAAAAGTTAGCTTATGTTGAAATTGAAGGAAAAATAAAAATAAAGTAATGTTGGCGTCATGTGGTTGCAAATGCGCGAGAATTTGACACGTAACAAAGGATCCACGCGGTTAAAGTGACTGTGTTAAAAATGATCCAGGCGCGGGTAAACAAACTGTGCCGCCGCTGAACCCCCGGGGGCCCCAAATGCAACCTATGAAGACGTCACGCGGCACCAGGCGAGAGGTTTTTAATCAACTGCTGCTTCCCTGGTAATGTATGGTAATATATGGAAATACGTTTTTTCGGTATTAACACTCTCTCGAAATGGATTACCATATAAAGATCACCGGCCGCAGATAGACAACGTTTTTCTTCTTCTTCTCGGTCTTCTTTAAGGGGTAGACGACGAATTATACCTGCGCTTTCTTTGTATCCGTGTACCTGCTGTAACAGACAAACCAATCTATATATTTCTTTTTATTATTTTTCCATTTTTAACTCGTCCCAAACAGATTTACAATCAACAATAAAAACGATCATCACATCCCCAAACGGCTACCGATATTATTAATAATATAATAAAACCTCAATATAACGGATTAATATGGGAAACAAGTAAAGTTACAACTAACACTAGAACTAGAAAGTTTGTAGCAAGAGCTAATCTTCCATTTGCAGTATTTAGTCCTGTTCCAGTACTATCTGATCTTCTAGCAGCAGTTCATTGTCCTCTTCCAGCAGTGTCAAGTCTTCTGCTAGCAATGTCTAGTGCTCTTTTAGTAATGTGTAGTCTTTTTCTAGCAGTAGCTGGACTTTCATTAGCATTATTTGGTCCTTTTCCAGTAGTATCTGATTTTCTAGCAGCAGCTCTTTGCTCTCTTCCAGCAGTATCTAGTATTCTTTCAACAGTGTTTATTCTCAGCAGTTTTTTATCAGCCGAATAGTATTCCAGCAGTATCTAGTCTTCTCCAGCAGTGTCTAGTCATCCATTAGCAGTATTTAATCGTTTCCCAGTAGTATCTGATCTTCTGCAAACAGTTAATTGTCTTCTTCCAGCAGAATCAATTCTTTCCCCAGCAATATCTAGTCCTCCTCCACTATCTAGTTTTAGTTCAATAAAAATGTAATATAGCACTAAATAACAAGTAAAACTCCCACTAGAGACACTAGAACTAGAAAGTTTCTGGTTTATATTATTAAATTAATTATATTTTATATGTAAAACAAAATAATTTTTTTTATTAATTCATTTCGAAACACAACACATCAATTTTGTTGTTCTCGGAAAGTGTTTCGCTCTGGCGAAGTTCTTTTTTGGTGGGCGTATCGATTAATTATTATTTAGGTCCTGTTCGGAGGGCCCCAATTGGTACATAAATTAGCCAACGACCGGAGCCCCGCCGGACGCTTCGGCGGACGCTTTTTGACACATACTGATGCTAATAACACAGCCCCGCGTTATCTACGGCCGTGTAAATATTCGGACAGGACGGGACGGGGCCCCAATTACGGTGAAAGTCGAAAACGATTACATACGCCCCGTACGTTGTAATTGAATCGAAAGTTGCAAAATAAAAAGAACGAAAGTAAAAATTACCACTTTGAAGAAGACCTTTTTCGTTTCAAATTTAAAAACGTGAAATTAATCATTCGATATCGTTAAATTAATTTCAACCAATTAAAGATAGAAAAAAGAAAAACTTTTTTTTTTTATTGTATCCTAACTCATAATTAATTAAGAACGTTTACTAAATAAAATGGACGCTTAGCGAAAATGCAAATCACCTCCATGTAGTGTTTATACGTTACGTTAAAATACTCAAGTTTAATGGTTTAAAATTACCATATTACAACCGAGAAAGAGTCCAGGGGAACGGTACATAAGGGTATTGTCCAATTAATATCGCTTAATAACAACCGCAAACGATTTCGAAGCGGCTCGGCTCGCACGGGTCGGCGTCATGTTCGTGCAGGTTAAGTGCATATTTTACACTCTGCGTTGTAAACGTTGCATTTGAACCCATCGTGCTAAAATACCCGAATTGAATTGAAACTCATAATAAATTTTTGTATACAATTCTAGTTTTTCACAATTCGTTCGTAGTGAGTTGAGTTGAGTTGAAACGAAGAATA